CCCCTTATTCTCGGAAACTCCCATATCCCAAACCTAGATCCTAGAGGTTCTGGCGAGTTTAGAATACGGTGAATACGGCTTTCAGGGGGTTTGCTCTTGCTTTGTGCAGTCCAGAGGGCCCGAAAGCCTGAATCCTAAATCCGAAATTGTACACCCACAATAAATAACGGCATAACCCACACAACATAGCAAGCACTGAGGGGCTTGAGCCCTCCCTCATCAATACAAAATCCCTCGACTGTCTAGGGACGCCAACTCCTACACCACGCTAAACCACCTCAAGCCCTAGCAGGGAGCATGGGTCGACTTCTTTGTTCAAACTAGTGGGTTGAACTGTCGGCCCGGGGCAGTATTCTACCCTAAACCCTAAACCCTAAACCTTAAACCCTAAAACCTAAACCCTAAACCCATTCTACTTGACTTAGTAAGGCCCCTATCTATTTTTGAGCTTGACGCGCAGAAGCTTCTCAGAACGCCCCGGTCGGTAGAGGTCCAAGTGTCCGTGTCTCGTAAGCAGATACTCCCCAAGCTACTCAGCTACAAAACTACCTAAACCCTAAACCCTAAACCCTAAACCCTAAATCCTAAACCCTAAACCCCAAGTACCTTCTGCCATTGCGGTAAACCTGTGACCCTAGAACTTGAAGGCCCTTCTAGCCCTCTCCTTAGAGCCACTTTTCAGACCCCTTATAAAAGACCACACAGTTCTCTGCAACAAGCTATAAAACCCTAAACCCTAAACTCTAAAGACCCCAAACCCTGAACCCCTAAATTCCTCTAGACCCCAAACTGCCTCAAATCACGCAGGGCCTGATCGCGTGGTCAGGTAGAGACGCGATCCCTCCTTGATTCTTTTCGCGAGGTCGGCGAAGGAACAGCCTCAAGTTTGGACTTCCTTTCACCCAGATAACCCAATACCCCTTAATTACTCAATATACCTTGTATTATACGGGCTCTAACAGTATGATTTAAGGTATATTCCTTATTTAAGGGGTATTGGGTTCTCTGGGCAGGGCTCCTTGAAAAGGTTCCGCGAAAGCGTACTCTACGGGTTCCAAACCCTGAACCCTGGCTCCTAAACCCTGAACCCGAAAACCGAGACGCGAGTACTCTGCAACAACCTACAAGTCCGACGGGATTACGACTTGCAGGTCTAAGCCCTTCAACACTCCTCTAATCCAAAGAACATCGGGGGGATGGTCGGTTGAGGTTGAGAGTACATGTTTGACGATTAGGGGTTTGGGGTTTAGGGTTTAGGGTTTAGGATTTAGGGTTTGGGGTTTAGGGTTTAGGGTTTAGGGGTATAGGGTTTAGGGTATTTTTGTAAGGAGCTGAAAGAAATAGTGTGGCAACCGTCCTGGCTTGTATGTTACAACAAGGTTTGGGGTTCAGGACTAGTTCAGGGTTCAAGGCTCAGTGTAGACCGTCGAATCATAAACCCAAGCTCTTTAAGGGCCTTGAGACTCAGATCCTTATTAAACCCCTCTCAAGCACAAAAGGCTTACGAATCAGGGCCTGCTTTCGAAGATTTAGTGCAGCCTTACTGCCACAAGCCCCGGAAAAGTCCACTAGCACTGCTCCCTGGATACGGTTTATCGTGAGTTCTGGGTCGTCCTAAACCTGAAACCCAGAAACTTAAAAGGCAAAATTTCGAGCCCAGTCAAACGCCCCCCCAAGATGCAAACAAACTCGAAACGACTCTAAACCATTGAGAGGGCGTAGCGTCTATGGTTTTCGATCGGAAACCCGCAGTTAGGCTACCTATACGTCTGACTTGTTGGGTCTCCTGATGGCCCTTGAAAGCGTGGATTTAGGGTTTAAGGTTTAGGGTTTAGGGTTTAGGGTTTAGGGTTTAGGGTTTAGGGTTTAGAATATATGGGCCTTCGTAATTACAACAAGCTTTCGGGGTATCATGTATAATCAACTGAGTACGGACGATAAGCGGATAGTACCACTAACTAACCAGAACTGTCTGAACCCTCAACCCTAAACACTACCTGTCTAAATCCAGGCAACATTCGGCAACAGGCACGAGCAACAGTCATCGAGCGAAACCCGCCAGGCCAGGCGCGTAACACTTGGAAAACGGCCCCCTGCGTGATACAAACCAACGAAAACACGTATCCCAAAGCAAAAGACCGACACAACCATGGACCCAAAGATCTCTAAACACAAACTCGTTCCAGATAAACCTTCACACCTTACAGCAGACGAGCCTACAGCCTAAGACCTAAACCCCTAATCCTCAACTCGAGACTCCAGGCCGTAAGCCCGAATACCCAAACAATACGCCCGACACACTAAAACTCTGAATCAAAAACCCTAAACCACACCCCAAACCCTAAACCCTGTGATCCCTTTGAGGAACCTTTATAGTATCCTTTAACCCTTAACCTAAACCCTAAACTCGAAACCCGCAACCCCAAACCCTAAACCCTGAACTCAAAACCCTAAACCCGAAACTCCAAATATTGAGCCCTAGACCCTAAGCCTAAACCTTAAACCCTATACCTTCAACCCTAAGCCTAACCGACCCAGTGGCTTTAGCCAAGCTGCCTTTGGGATCCCAGGAGTTGGGCTTTGCCCCAAGCACGGCTTCCGATCCTGGAAAAAGGGAAGCTGCGAAGCAGCTTTACTGGGGTTTAGGGTTTAGGGTTTAGGGTTTAGGGTTTAGGGTTTAGGGTTTAGGGCAGCTTTACTGGGGTTTGGGGTTTAGGGTTTGGAAACAGATTTAATTTTACAACTGCAAGACGAGCTGCACACATAAAAATATACGCACAAATATTCTGCATAAGTGCATATATACATATACATGGAGACAGAGCGAAATAAAAAACTTTCAAAGTTATAAACTGCATCTGTTTACGTATGCATTGACTTGTTGGTGTATTTGCTGTTTGATGTTTTGTTTGCCGCTGGTTCTGTTCGCATCTAACTTTAAAGTTTAAAGTCCATGAATGAGTGTGTGGCCATAAAGACATAAAAACATACATATAGACATAAAAACCTACCTACCTACCTACCTACCTACCTACCTACCTACCTACCTACCTACCTACCTACCTACCTACCTACCTACTGCAACTTAGGACCCATGTTATATGGTCCTTAATCCCACAGCTCCGGTTCCACATCGCCTCTGCATATGGTAATGTAATCTAGTCAAAAACGAATATGGTATCATAAGATACTCTGTGATATGCTCGAATACAATACCGTGACATATTCCATCATAACAAATACATGACTTTTTAAAAGCTCATAAAACCTAATAAGAACCCAACATAATCTGATGTGAATAGAACCTAATCTAAGCGCACCTCATACAGGCTAATAGAATCTGATTAACAATCCGATATAGTCTAATCTAGTTTAAACTATATTATCGTGCAGTATAACAGACAATACTATAAAATAACATGATATGATGTAACATAATGTGATATAACGTGATATAATGCGGTATAATGTGATATCATGTAATATAACGTGATATAATGTAGTAAAATGTAGAATAATGTACTTCAATACATTGTGATATAATGTAATATATTGTAATATCATGTAGTATAATGTAATATAATGCGATTAATGTAATGTATACTTTAATATATACTGTAATACATAATGTAATACATAATGAAATACATAATGTAACACATAATGTTATATATAATGTTTTTTAATGTAACATAATGCAATATGATGCAATATAATGTAACCAACATAGTAAAACAGAATAAAACATAAATTGAACATAATACAGTATATAACTCTATAACACTGTCTAAAGTAATACAAGCGGAATTGTTTCCGACATGCTTCCGAAAAAGAAAAGTTCGCCACCAAACCACACGCCTCAAAGATGGTATGTGATGGCACCCTTCCAAGGTTTCCAATGTAGGCTGCGTCACTTTGATGGCAACGTGGGGTGTGGTCCTGCTGGCCTGAAGCACCACTGCCGCGCTGCAAAACGATCGTGCATTTCTCTACAAGAGCACGGTGCTCCTCTGCTCTTCCTCCCTGCGCTGTCTCCAAGGAGGTTCTCATCATCGTGCACAGGTCTGCTCTGCTGAAACTTTCCAAGCGTCGTCTCGCCTCGGCATCTGTCGGTGTAGCAAAAGTCAGCACATTTACCAAAAAAGCTTGCACCGTCCCCACCTTCGAGAACACGGGTCCTTCAGCTGTTGAAGTATCTTTTTCGCTTCTTCTTAACATGCTCGACAGGTTGCCTCTGCCACTATTTTCGCCTGACTTTGTCCAGGATGACTTTAACTTCGTTCCTTCGGTCGATCAAAACTCCAGCATCCAGATTCAAGGCATCTGTCAACTCTGAAAGCAAAGCTCTGACGCCGAAGGCAAGTTTCTCCAGACTGCGGCCGCGCAACAGTTCTCCAATCATGCGACGCAGCGGTTTTGGTCTCACAAAGCCCGCCTTCGGATCGCACTCAGCCGTGTCCGTCTGCGGCTCCGTACTCTCACTTTGCAGCTCACGCGTATCCGTCTTCTGCTCTGCGCTCTCATTTGGCAGGCTCTCTCCAGCTTGAACGTGTAGCGATTCTGAACATTTACTGTTGAATCTCCGGCGCTTCATAGATCGGGTGTCTCACCTCTGCAACCATCCGGCAAGCCACCCAGCCATCCGGCACCCAGGCTCGAACAAACTAAAGACGTTAAAAACACTTGTGGCGGCTTTATAACATGCTAGTTGAGCTTTCCAAATTTCCAAACTCTTCATTTGCGTTTGCTTAAGGGGCCGGAAAAATAATAGCCGGTATTAGCTCTATAACAATAACGACAACGACTTTCGTGATAACGGGACCGATAACGACAGCGATAACGAGAACGTTACGGTGTGGTGGCGACAATCGAAGTCAGAGAAAGAAGTAGAACAGCCAAAAAATCACGATAGCAACATCGCGGTAGTCTTGGCCACGATGATAGCGACAGTGATAAAGAGACGGAGCACAACAAGAGCAACATCAGCTGCAGCACCGCCA